TATTTGTTATTATTTGTGATAATTTCATGAAATTTTCAGATGGCTATTGTACATACTTGTGACATATGTGAAATCATAAACGAAAAGAGCATTTCGACTCATGGATGTATGAAAGCATATAACCGGTTGTTCATTGATAATTTTTTAATAATCATTTTTTTAAATCCATGTTCGTCTTTCAAATAAAAGATCAACCCAATATTTTTTTTTTATATTTTCTTTCTAAATTTCTACATTAATGCATACAGTTGCTATTAGATTATTTTGCCGTAATTTCGTTTTACTTTTGTTATGCACAATCGCATCAACTTTTCAAGTCCACTTGTAATATTGTTTTTGATAACATTTTGGACTTTACATAACACAAGTAATATAATTAATTACTGCTCAAAACTGCGTCAAAAATTTATTACTGCTAATTTATGCGATATTCGAGGCAATATAATCACGTGACTCCTTTGTTGCTGAATACAAGCGACGAGTGACATCATGAACACGTAGGAGAGTTCTTTGTAAGTTGGACATCTTTATAGGTTGGATACTCCTTGACATTTCGAATATTTGCAGTAGAAACACCAAAACTCCGACTGTCATCGTTTCTAAAATACTAAACTTTACTTTTTATGCGATTTTGGAGCGAAAAGACGCGCCACAGATTTCTGTGCCAAACAAATTGTGAAAAAAACATCGAAAAAAAAGTGAAAATTAAGATTCCCATTTTTTACTAAGATTACAAATTGAATAATTTTCATCGAAAATTTAAGATGAATATATGTACTATGCTCCATTTTTTATGTATTTTCATAATGTAAAGAGAATTCCGAAAATCATGAACTGAATTTTTTTTTTCAATGCACTTTTAAATGTCAACAATTTTGTAGATTGGACACGTTTTTTCTTTGTAGGTTGGACACCCATTTTTTTCATTTTTCACGATACGATGCAATTGTTTATGATTTTTTTGATATTCGGAATTCTTATTAAGTGAAATAAAAAAAAAGTGTTTTTATGAATGCATTTGCATTTTAATGAAATTTTCGGTGATTTTTTCCAAATTGATTTTTCCAAATTTTCATTCCAATTTTTATTAATTTTTCTTCTTCAAAGTCTATTTTCATTCAAATTTTCATTTTTTATATTCAAATCAACTGAGACCAATTAATAAATTGAAGAAATTTCATAAAGTTTGTAAATATTGTGTTTTTACTTGAGTTTTTGTGCATTTTTAGCGTTTTTTTGGGTGGTGTCCTACATTAAAAAATTTGAGGGGAGTTGATCGTTTTTGAGCCTTTTTTTGAATTGGCTATAAAAAAAATCCACTAAACCCAATGATTTTTTTGTCCACAATGTAGCTATTAACCTCAGCTTTTAGACAGTATCTTGATATCAACGATATGTTGATTCTCATCTGAGTTATGAGCAAAAATGCTAAAGGTGTCCAACCTACAAAGAATTCCCCTATCTTTAGTCGTATAAGTTGACAATTGGTCAACCTCACTGGTAAAACATAGAATAGAACTACCGACTATTGACTCATTGACTGCGTTCAGCAGAACACAATGGTTTTACAACCGTAAAATATAATTGTCTGCTGTTGTGGTAGGACCATTCTTCTAGCTCTAAAAATATAATCAGCACGAAGAAAATTTCCAACAATTGCAAATTAAATTTTACTGAACATAGCCATTGTAGAATTATAGCATTACACATTTCTTTGTTCATCATGATTGTTAATATTTAAAGATGTAAAATAGGAACATAATATATAGAGAAAAGTCTCTTATTATGAGATAGCGGCGTTTCTGCTAAACTAATAAACGCTATCTATTGATTCGATTATGAATTTATTGCTCTTGGATTGAAAATTATTTAACAGAAAATTCATTATCAGATTATGCCTATAGTTATTGTAAAAAAAGATTTTAGAATTTGGATGTTTTCAAATTTCATTGAGCCTTTAAATTTTGTTTATTATTTAATAAATAAATATTTGGCAATAAATTCTTTTAGTGATAGAGTGAGGCCTATTAATAGAAAAATACGAGATGTAATATGTTGAATAGTTTGATTACAAAGGTTTGATGATCGTAAAATCATAAGGTGTGGAAAGCGTAATCATATTAGAGATACCCAATATTTCTAATATGAAATAACCCATGCTCCTATGTAATGAAAATCGCTAAAAAGTAAATGTTATTGTACAATAAAAAGAACGATCAGAATGAACGTCAAGTACCTATTTCTGCGATGCTTGATTCCAATTATCTGAAGACGAATTCTGGGTATAATCTATCGCATGCTCATTTTTTACGCACGCTGGCTGTGTTTATTTGCATTTTAAAAACATAAAATAAAGTTTTTTAATTGCACTGATATACTTTATGTTACTTTTACGTTACTTTTACGTTACTTTATTATTGATTTCTCGGGATCTCATATTAGGAGCACAATTTTTTGACTTTGCGATTTGCTTACTTTTTATATTTCTTTAATCTTCAAAAAAAAATGGAATTTGAATT